CATAATTGCCTATCTGAATAATCTTACCAGATATGATCAGATGACAAAATCCGACAACAATTGTGCCGAGAACCTTTTCCTGTTCTGAATGCTGATGTTTTCATAAGGAGCTGAAGTTGTGGAAGGGTTGATGGCTCCAAAGTCGTTGGGTTCACTCATTTCTACTCTTCTTCCCAATTGGACGTTCTGGTTAGGGAGAAAAGTTTGATGGGTTCCGGACAAGGAGAGGTTCTCGCAGTGGGGGAGCCCAAGGGTGAGGGAAACACCATTACCGGGAAACCTTGGTGCGAACTGTTCTGCATCAAACCTTCCAATTTCCCCAATTGGGTATTGCCCGAATCCTCCAATGAAGTTTGTGTCACTTCCCATGAAGGAGTAACCGTCTCTGGTTAGTCTCTCACCGCCAAATGTCATGGAGACTTGCTCGTTGGTTGGATTCCCATGAACACTACTTGGGGATTGCAACAGTTCGGAGCTCCTCTGTTTCTTTGGACTTCCTTGGGCAATCCCTTCCAGTTCAGATGATCCAATGAGGGAGAACCCCGTTTGATTTCGAAGATTTCCGGAGATAGGGGATGTAGTAGCGGTGGAAATGGAGATCCCGGGGAGGTTCTGGGGGGTTGAACTCTCCTGTTTGAGGGTGAAGCTCTTGGGATGGTTTTCGGAAACAGGGCTTCTGGTTTGAGGAATAGAGGACTTCGATGCTGAATCTTCATTGTTTTGGCTTTTGCTTGTTCTGTCCTCTGATCCATTCTGTTCTTGCCCCTTGGTTTCCTCCTTATACATCTCCTCCACCATCGGCTTCCACAGTCGCACCCGAGCGTTTATGAACCAGTTCGACACCTGAATCAATCACCGAATCTATAATCTCACATAACCAGAACCCTCAATATTGAAAACAGAGAATGCGAAAAGAACCAGAATTCCCACCTGACTCCTAGTCAGCCCTGTTTGCTTCGCCAGCACAATTTTGTCTGAATCCTTGGGATATCTGCAAAGACAAATAGAGTCAATTAGGTCGTCAAGGTATAAAGGGAAGTACTCGAATTTTCGAAGAAGTTGCTTACGGATGAAGGAAGTGTTCGAAGAGCCAAGAACGAAGAACGGAGACAGATCGTTCAGGCAATCCTCTCTGGGGTCTCCAAGCATTGTGCTGGATCATTCCCAACTGCTG